GATCGTTCCCGCACTACAAAGGATGAGGATTTAATAATATGGGCAACTGTTGAACCGCTGTGTTGAATATTTGAAACCAACATAATACTATCAATGATACTTCAGTAAAAAAAAAAGTTAACAAATAAGATTTTTCTGACAGACCCAAAAAAGGAAAAAAAAGATTATGAGGGAGCTTTATGAGGGAGCTTGTCCTACAGTATGTTAAACTTTATTATAAAGCTACAATAAATAAAACAGTGCATATGTTGGTCTAGATAGCTAGATCAGTAGAAAGAACAGGGAATCATGAAAGAGACAAACCTACCATATAAGAATTTAAAGTGTTACTGCAAGTGAGCAAGGAAAAAATGTATTAGTTAGCAAATGTTGCCAGGACAACTATTTGAAAGCAAATTATTTTATCTATAATATTATGTACCATATATGATATGTTATGAAATACACTGTGTATAATATAGAATATAAAAATTATAATGAAAAATAAAGAAAACCTGTAATATGACAAAATACATCATAAAACTAAACAAATTATAAACTACAAAATATGCTGGTAACACATAATATTCTTAATAACGAGTCTTATAAATCAGTAAGATAAATACTTCAGTAGAAAAATGGTTAAAGTTTGTAAGAAAACTTTAAAATACTGATGATAAATATGAAAATATGCTAAAGCTCTTAATAAGACAATAAAAACATGAATGTGACTAAAAATCTGAATAATAAATCAAAAATGTTGATGAGATTGATAAAAAAGCAGTTGATGGGAAGTATAAATTTGAACTAAGATTTCAGAGGGCTATTTGGCAATATTTATTAAATTTTAAATGTCTGTACTCTGACCCTACAAATCTGCTTATAGCAATTTATCCTGAGGAAATGATTGGTCAATATATACAAAATGATTGGTCAAATATACAAAAATGTATGTAAAATGATGCTTACTAAAACTAAATGCTTTAAATACAAAACAAAGGCATGAACTTCATTTTTTTCTGCTTCATATATTAATAAAAGGAATACTCTATAGCCATTTAAAAAAAGTGAGGGAAAAAATAAGTAAGAGCTGTATGTATTAACACAGAAAGATGATGATACACTATTAAGTAAAAGATGTCAAGTTGTTACAACTACTGGATATAGTACAACTCCATATATTTGTGAAGAAAGAAATTCATAAATTATACACACACACACATTTAAAAAATCTGGAAGTATATACCCCAGGCTCTTTATATTGATAATCTCTAAGGGGTGGTAATCTCTAAGATATTACAAGTAATATCTTATCTCTGTCATTTATTAGTTGTATTACCTTTGCAAGTTCTTAAGTTATCTAGGTCTAAATTTCTAGATCTGTGAAGTGGAGACAGTAATAGTAATAGCCATCATCCCTTATAGGAGTGATGTCAGAATTAAATGAGTTTTAAAGCATGAAAAGGGCTTAGAACAGAATACAAAACATTCAGTAAGTGTTAATAATTATTACTTTATAAGTGTCTACACTAATGAATTTTTAAAATATATTTTAGCCATGTAGTTCATAATCAGGAAAACAGGTTTATCTTTCAGGGGGGTAGATCCCATTATCTGATTTAAATGTTTCATCTAAAACAATAATTGAAAAGTTAAGAGTCCATATGATGGCAACTAAAATAGGTTATGACATTTAAAAATTTAAGATGACAATCAATCCTAAAAAATATACCAAGAAGGGGAAAACCTACTCAGATCAACTTAGAGATTAATTCGTATTTTTATTCCAATGTCATATTTTTTACCTAAATCCTTATCACATACTAAATGCTGGAAATTCATGTAAATAGAAATTTGGAGTGTGAGACTGTGCATTAAAGATAAGCTTCTATTCACAACTTTCATGAGAATGAAGATGATAGGGGGATCATGTTTAAAATTTTATCTGTTCCCAGTGAAAGAGCAACTAAGTCCCTAATAAGAACATAATACAGGTTCTAAAGCAACAGGACTTCATTCCAGCCTTTGAATTTATATAGCAAAAACAACGACAGAACTTCTACAGTATCCATTCTGAAGCAAATGAAGGAGGACACGCAAGCAACACAGGCACACTTGTAAGAGAAATAGAACTTCATCATTAAAGGAGTTCCAACAGACAAACAAAAATTAGAGATATCATTTTAGAATTCCTAAATTCAAAAAGGGAAAAATCACAGAGTGCAGTGCTGAGATGGGTCAAGGAAGTAAATACTCATACTTGATGACAATGTTAATTTTTTCCCACTTTTATGGAGGGTAACCTAGTGATATACAAGAGAGCAATAGGGATATCCACGATCTTCAGCCAAATTATCCAAGTCTTATAAATATCTTCTTAAAATAATTTAAAGGAAAAGCTAACATCACCATAACAGCATTATTTAAACCTGAAAACAACCTGAATAATACAAAAAGATAGTTAGATGGCTAATTGTCTACAGTATATTAATCTACCAGCTTATTATGACTTTGTAAAAACTAACAAATAGAAAGTCTAAACTGTAGCAAGAAAGGACTACTTAATGTGTAAAACTGGAAAAAAATAGCTATCCATATGCAGGAAATAAGGCAGACTCCTACATCTCATACCATATTTAAAAAAATAAACCCCAGATTGATTAAGGTCTTACATGACACAAACAAAACTTTCAACTTTTTAAAAGAAAACACCTCCTCAAAAACTTAAATGTGGAATTACAATAATGATCCAACAGTCCCACCTCTAGGTATATACGCAAAAGAATGGAAAGCGGGAACTCAAACAGATGCTTGTACACCAACATTCGCAGTAGAATAATTGCAAACAACCTAATGTCTACCAACAGATGAACAGATGAACAAAATGTGGTACATATGGACAATAGATTATTACTCAGCCTTAAGAAGGAATGAAATTCTGGTACATGCTACAATATGGATGAATAATCTTGGAAACATCCTATGTGAGAAAAACAGATACAAAAGGGCAAATATTGCATGATCCCACTTAGATGAGAAGGTACAATAGGCAAGTTCATTGAAACATAAAGTAAAACAGGTTTACCAGGAGCTGGGGAAGGAGGTAATGGGGAGATACTGCTTAATGGGTCCAGAGTTTCTGTTTGGGATGATGAAATAGTTCTGAAAATGGATAGTGGTGATAGCTGCATTGTGAATTACTTAATGCCACTGAATTGTACATTAAAAAGTGGTTAAAACCATATTATGTATATTTTACCAAAATAAAAATAAACTAATAAAATTAATATATATGATGAAACTGGTAGAGCAGTAGAAAAAAGGAAATAGTTAATACATTTTTTTTTCTGACTTTGGAATAGGGAAGGATTTAAGATGCAAAAAACATTAGCAGGTGGGTGTGACCACTTTGGAAAACAACTGGACACTATCTTAAAAAGTTGAATCTTCACAGACCTTATGACCCAGTAGGTCTACTAGACGTATATTCTAGAGCATGCATTCTCAATGGAGGTGGTATCAACCCAAGCGGGTGAAATTAGTTTCGAGGAAGAGTGGGGAATGGACACACACACACACACACACACAAACATACTCTTTGTATATAAATCACAGATATACATTCAGTACATAAAGATACACCCAAAACCATCTGTGGTATTAAAATTTCATTAAAGAGGAATGGTTGGAATGGAGTGGGGGGAGTCTAAAAAAGGGTCCTTAGTGAGGCAATAATGAAATGGTTGAGAAATACTGCCCTAGAGATACTCTTGCATACATGCACGAGAAAACATGTATTATGAATGTTAATAGCAGCTCTGTTCAAAAATCAGGAAACACCACAAGGAGCCACTACTGGAAGAGTGGATGAATACACTGGTAAACCTATCAACGGATGACAAATTAAAAGGTATGAATCCTTCAACCATTAGTAAAAAGGAATGAATCACTGCTACATGCCACAATAGGAATTTTAGTAATATAATAGTGAGTGAAAAACACAAGTCCTAGAAAACAACATGTAATAAAATCCCCTCTTTGTTGTAAAGCTGTCACAGCAAATAAACACTCCTAAATATCTAGCACCACAGTAATCCCAAGCGAGGTCCTCAAAGATGGCACAGACTCCTAGATCGATGTTTTCCAACGCTGTGGCAGGTTGTCACTCAGTGGGTCCTGAATTAATTTGGTAGTCATGACCGATATCTTTTAAATGTTTAGTAGAATAATCACAGTGACTGCACTCTGCATAGGTAGGGTAAAACTTGCTTTGTAAAACTTTTTTGTTCTATAAATATGTACACACACATCTGTACCCTTATCCTGATATTCTGAAATCTAAAGAGCTATGAAACCTTAATTTTCTTTTGTAAGTTTGGTGCAGATTCACAGGGCAGCAAAATCTGACCTGAAATGCCTTAGGCACTTATAGCCTTTATTATTCTTTATTCATTATGAATAATACATTTCATTGGAAAAATACTAATGTATTTCATTATAGGTGGCATACATATTATCTTTTAACATTCAAAATAACAAAAAACATCTCTGGACCTTAGAGTTTGGGAGAAAAGATTAAGAACCTATCTATGTATATAATTCTACATGTGTATATATATATTTAGTGTACATATACTTGGTGTGTACTGAGTCAAAATGTAAAACATATTTCTGACCAGATTAAGACAAAAGCGTCTGGCGTTACTGGCTAGGTGACATTTTTCACAGGCACTGGCCGTACCTATGCCTCCATAATTCTTATTCTACAAAACTCTTAGGAAAGGGACGTCCCACTATTATGACTCAGAATGTTCCTGTGCTTTTTTTATTTTAATTCCTCCCTATTTACTTTTAAGACCATTTCATGTTTGGAGGGAGCAAATTCAGTCATCACTTAGAGGTGACCTTTAAACTGAACACAATAATATCTTAAGTTTATATCACTCCTGTATTTCCCAAAGAATAGAAAAAAATACCCTAAGCACGGAAGGAGAGTCGAAAGAGCCATCTCAAAGCCTTACCTTCAGAAGGTTTAGGACTTTCTTGCCAAGATCCAGTTCAAAGTTGGCATAATTAGAGCCACACATGTCATAGATAAACACCAATCCATTCCTTTGAGTTTCAAAGCTGTAAACCAACCATTGAACAAGAACATTTATAAGTAATAAGTTGGATGAAGCAGGTTGAAAGCCTAGGGCAAAAATAAAGACACAGAGAGTATGGGACACATCTGGGACCAAAATAACTGCCTCCCTGAAATCTGGTCATACAAAAAGATGACTTTTCTTTGGTATCTACTATTCTTATTGTAGTACTGGTATTCATAATCACAAGTAATACATTTGGTCTTCAATCCTGTTCCTGGCATAAAGTTCTTAATACTCTTGGAATTTCCAAAGTGAAGAGAGAGATAAAGGTGTCTGTTGTTACGTTAATGAGGTGACTTCTGAAGTGCCCCCAGATCACCAAAGGATGGGGGCTAGTTGCCAAAACAATCAATCAACCATGTGATTAAAGGGTCCCCCTCACATCTGTCCCCACCGTCTTATCCATATCATCATCCCTCACCGCCACCAACCAAGCCGTCACCACCATCCTCTCCACAGAGAGGGTAAGGGTGTAGAGACTAACTTCAATTACCAACTGCCAATGATTTAATCAATCACACCTATGTGATGAAGCCTCCATAAAAACCCGAAGGACAGCTTCCAATGGGAGAACCTGTGTATGTGCTGAGAGAGCAGCCCTCTCAGAGCGGGCATGGGAGCGCTGTGCCCCTTTCACCATCCCTTGCCCTATGCATCCCTTTCATCTGGCTGTTCGATGCTTTCACTATCCTTGTTCTATCCTATTGCTGGTTCTAAACCAGTAATCCAATAAGTGAAATTTTTCTCAGTTCTGTGAGCCACTCTAGCAAATTTACTGAACCCACGGAGGGGGTCGTTGGAACCTCCCATCTATAGCCTGTTGGTCAAATGCACAGGTGACAACCTGGACTTGCCATTGACATCTGAAGGGCAAGAGAGGGGGACCCGACTTGTGGGACTGGAAACCCTTAACCTGTAGGGTCTGATGGCCTCTAGCAGGTAGTGTCAGGACTGAGCTGAATCACAGAACACCGCTTGGCCGTGTGGTTGAAAACCTCCGCATGTCAGAATTGGAACTATACTTATTTATGCATATTTATCCAGATGTATTAAGTGCCAAGCTCCTAGGTTAAGAATGTTCCAGAGTTATGAAGGAAGAAGAGTTATACATCTAGGTTATGAAAATTTTAACTGTTTTCTCTGATGTGTCTGAATCTATCCAAATTCTCTAACAGTTTATATTCAACTCAAAAGTTACCTTTTCCATGACTTCTGTGTAACTGTAATCAAATGTACCCCTCATCCCCTGAAGTCCCATAAATCTTCCTACAGATTTTTCTTGGGGCTCTTAAAGTACTCCAATTTGTGTAGCCATCTGATTCTTTCCTAGAGGAAAAAATGTGCTCTGTTCACCTCATTACCCCCAATGATCCTGAGCACAGTGCTTGTAGATAGGTATCTAATAAAGGGTCACTGAGTTCTATTCAGTGGACTGGAAGCCCATTAAGAAAATACTTTAGACCTGTGGGAAACAAGCTCAATGATGGTAAATTTGCCTCTCATGACTTGGAGAAAGAGAACAAACCTACAAACGGTGTTTGGAAAGTATTTTAAGAACACAATTAAGAGGTGGTAAGCTTACTCTCAGATTGAGGTTAGGAACACACACAGGAGGGTATGAAGCGTATCCCTCATTCCCATCTCCTTAATGCCTAAAGACTGCTCAAAGTTGCACTCTTCCGCCCAGGCAGATCTTTACCTATTTCTGATCTGCAAACCCAAAAGGTAATTTAGGAATAAATTGTTTGACTATTTACAAATGATGGCCAACAGTTTTCAACAACAGTCAAACAATTGTACATCAATTGAGAAAGTTTTCTTCAAGAATCTCAATGTTACTTTGTATGCCAAAATTTTTTTGCACCACATCCTAGAAGCCTCCTTATCTTCATCCTTTTAACAAAATCCAAGGCAGAAGCACGCACCCAAAAGCACCATTTTGAACATTTCTAATTCTGATGTAGTTTTTCCAGAAGACTGAGTTTCAAATGGTCCCTAATGGGTTAGTTAGTTATATCTTCAATCTTTTTTTTCATGACCTCAGAGAGACTATGATTCACCAAGATCAAAGATGCTAATGTGTGGTACAATTATTGAGTAGAATCCAGGCCATTTCTCCATAAGCTCATCAAGGGCCAAATTCAAAGAATTATTATAGGTTTTCCCCTCACAGCTCCAGCCTGTGGCAAGGAACTGAACAAGAAACAAAAAGTCAGTGCCAGGGGAAACCGAATTTAATAAAAAGAAGCTATGGTGCATATCCACGCAGGTTCTATATTCCCAAAAATATACTGCTCATCCTGTGAAGGCATATGAAATGAATGCAAATGTAATAGGATTTTCACTTTTCTGGGTACAAAATATAAGGTTTACGATAATAACTAATTTCCTACAAGAATAAGTGCTTCCTTACTGAGTTTGATCTCTGAGCTGAATGCTATCTGGAACACCAAGAAGTTTTAAAACATAGTCCCTGAAGGCAGTACAGCAAGGAGAAGCCAATTAATGAATTAATGACTGTATAACATCTTACTACATTGATAGGCAGTGACCGTAGCGGAGGAGGTAAGGACTTGCTACTATGGGTGAATGCTGAAACCATTGTTGTTTACGTAAAACCATCATGACCGTATGTCAATGATATTTTAATAATTAAAAAAAAAGCACAACCATAGTTTCTGACATTTGTTTCAAAATAATTGAGGGTGGGTATGGGCAAAGGGCTATCAATGAAACAAGATTGATTACAGATCACTTAAGAAGACAGATCATGGGTATGTGTAAGTTTATGATACCATTTCCTCTCCACCTATGGAGATTTGGGAATTTTTCATTACATAATGTTAAAAAGAAGGCTCCCTGCCCTCATGTAGCTTACAACCTAGTGTGGATGCAGAAAACAACAGCATAAGATAAGTGACATCACAAGGCCATGGATACAAAATACAGAATGATCGGTATTAGTAATAACTGCTATTAAAGTCACAATAAAAGTTTTATTTATGACAAGTTGGAGTGGTGAGGGATCCAGTCATAGAACCTGGGCCTTAAAGAAAGGGCAAAATTTAGTGAAAAGGAGGGGTTTCTTTCTCTTCCATCCTGGTTCAAGGTAACATGTGAAAACAAGAATTACTACTCACTAGTGAGAATATTTTGCTTAGAGAAAAGGGTTCACATTATCTTCCATGCACCCTCTGAATAATGAATCACTGAGCGTTTTAAGAAAGGGATGGACATCATGAAAACAATGCTTTAATTACTTTTACCTGTATGGTCCTCCTGTGCAGTCCAATTATTCACAATGGAAAGAGCAAGCTATGGCCACTGCACCTTTATAAACTATGCCTGATGCCAATCACAGGCAATATGAACTGAGAAATTCCACACTTCTGATTGGGCAGCACAGGGCCCCTAAGACCACTGGTCCTCTCTCCTTAGTTCTCTTTTTCAGAATAATGCTGTGTGTGGTTTAGATATATCTCCCACTGAGCATCAAAAGTAGAACCTAAGTATGATGAAAGTAACAAGGCAGTACCAAGCGACCTAGACAGAGTGCCACTTCAGACAATCATTTGGCTATTACCATTCTCTTAAGTCCACAGTACAACTAAAGCTGTGCACAGCTGTCTCTCACTGTCTCAGGGTCTCAATCCTTGACAGTATTACTTCTAACTCAGACGACAAGGCAATGAAGTACAAAGCAATAACGAACTATAAATGGCAAGGAGCAAGGAAAAAGGGAGCATGGCAGAAAGACGACATAGCAGGGGACAGACAGACCTGGCCAAGAGCAAAGGAACGGGAATCTTAGACCTAGTTGGACTGATTGGTATTGACTGTAGAAAGTTACATAACTTTCGGGGCTGCATTTTCTTTGTCTGTAGAATAGCAGTAATTACCACATACCTTAGAGGAGGAAGGAGAAATGACCCGAGTAGGCTCTTTTTGCTTATGCACCTGTTTATAAAGTGAGTTTTCATAACTTTATACTTCTGGACTGTTCTCTCCTCAATGTCAATTCTCAAAATCCTCTGAGTTAAATGGCATTATTCCTTTTTCACAGACAAAGAAACTGAGGCCCCAGACGGTTTTGAAAATCAAAATTCAGAGGAGAAAAAGCAAAAAGAACCTGAACAGGTCATTTCCCCTTTACTCTCTTTCAACAAGTAATTCTCAACACACTGAGGATTGCTAGTTAACTGGCCTTCTTGGCTTCTGTTATCCCAAAATAGAGCCAAGCAGGTAAAGATACAGAATACCCACTATCTTGATAGTATCCAGAAACATGACAAGCCCTTAAGGACACGGGATATCTCCTATTCATAGCACTGCCTAAGGCCCATCCTACGAGCATGATGAAGGCACTGCTCAGTTTAAGCAAAGCAAAGACTATCACTTGACCATCCGGATGCAGACCACCTAAAAGATAATGTCCATGCTCACCTATCCACAGCTCTGTCTAGCAAGTAAAACAGAGCCTGAAGTACCACGTGTTGGACGGATTTGTGGGGATGATGCAATCTGGCAGTGAAGAGGGCGATGGAAGCCCCTGTTGGGTCCCGAACATTCTAGAGAAAATAAAACAAGAAACATTTAGAATCAAATGGAAAATCACAACAATCCCTAAGGCTTCTTATATCCTGAACAAAGGTTGATATGAAGAGAACAG